GCTCACCTTCTCTGCCCTAGGAGCTTGGGATGGCATCGGGGGAGCTTCCTTCTAGGTGCTGGGACCGGCTGAGCTTCACTGACCCAGGAGCCTGGGATGGAGGTGGGGAGCTTCCTTCCGGGTGCTGGGACCGGCTCACCTTCTTGGCCCTAGGAGCCTGGGATGGCTTTGCATCTTTTTCTTCAATGTACATCAAGCTCCTTTTATTCCATTTTATTCCATTACATACTAATTGAGAATGTAAGATGTGCCTGCCTTTGCCCAAACCTATGCCTCAGTGGAAAGAGGATGTGGACTAAGGAAAGGGATAGGTTCCCCAGATGCCAGCTGCTCAAATTAGAGCAAGTTACTGAAAGCCTCCATTTCTTGTCGGTCCCCGCTGTAAATAAAGGTCACTTGATTATTTTAAAACAGGGAATGTAATCCCAACAAATTTGAGCCCAACTTGGGCAATTTAGTGACTTAGGGAGATCTTATCTCAAAAAATAGTAAAAGGTCTGAGGATGTAGCTCAGTGGGAAAGCCCTAGTAAGGGGGATGTGGGAATGGTGCCTAGTACACTGCTCACCTTCAAGGAGTGATTAATAACTAATGGCCATTACTGTGACATGTGCTGTGATGGAGATGAGGACATAGTGCCAAGGAAAGAGTTGTAGAAGAGGGCAGGACTGGAAGTTGATCTAAGAGAGTTTCCTCTGAGGCACGGAACCTTCTGTGCTGTAGCACAGATGCAGTTTAAATGTAGTTTAAATAAAGATGCAGTTTAAATAAAGCCTTGCTCGTGAAAAAAGGCAGGACCGGAGGTTGGCTAGGTGGCACACATCTGTAGTCTCAGCTACTGGGGAGCCTGAGGCAGGAGAATGGGGCATGGAAATTTGAAGCTAGCCTGAGCAATAAAGTAAGACCCTGTCTTTAACGAGAGATGGCTTGGAAGAAGGTTTGGTAGAAGGGGGATGAGGACAAGATTTCTAGTGGGAAAACTTTACTCCATGTAGTGAAGGAGTAAATGAGGAACTCATAGGTATTATTCTTATTTTATTGTTGTGTGTGGGTTTTCTGGACATTGACTCCTTGTCAGCCTTGCATGCTGAGTATGTGCTCTGCCAGAGAGTTTCCCCAATCTCCTTTGGGGTCTTGAATCCCAAAGCATCAATCCTGTTGTTTCTATAATGTTTCCTGGTTGTCTATATTTTTCTGATTCTAAAGTCTATACATACTGATTGTGGGAAAT